AATGATTTCTTTGTATGAACGACACTAACAACGGTAATCATTTCATTCAGTTGTAGTTTAACTGTTTCACCCAGCTGCGTTAATATGAGAATGAATTGCTATACGTATGAATTTGAATGAAGGTTTGATTGTATGTTTGAAATCAGTGAGTGCACAAAATTTAGGTATGCAGCTAATAAAGGAAATAATGAAAATTTTATTAGAATGGGTAATTTTACTTTGATGAGCATATGTTTCTGGGTACATACATACCTATTTAATGCAGAAGCAAAATTACGGTTGCCGTGGCATATGTACGTACAAACATATAAAAATATATGTAAATTAAAATGTGTAATGCGAATTACAATACCAAATGAAGGCGATGCAAATTTTCGTCCTGTTCACCAGGAGATTTAAATTGCCCTGCTTCCTTGGGTCGGTTGCGCTTTATTTGTGAAGTATTTGGGTCTTAATAAAAACCTATACCTACTACTGTAAGAACGCCATTGAGAAGAGATTGGGCCTCCTTCCATATAGTGGCTATATGAAACCATAATCAAGTCAGTTACATATGTTATGCGTGGTCATTGACTGGTCGAACTCCCTAGAAAAACTTACGTTAGTTAAGAATTTAGTACCCGAGAAAGAGGCCGGACCATTTTTACTGGGAACTGAAAAAATTTGTGAAAACAACATCATCATATTTTTCATCCTCAATAAAATGTTTGAATGCCTACAATTGTTAAAAGACCACAAATATCAAACTAAAATTAATTACTATAATTGAGCTAAATATGTTTATAACAGATTGGGCCGTATGAATAAAAATGAAGCAATTGCTTTTTATTCAAATTCCCTACCTGTTACTTTAATTCTGTTTGAATAAATCGAGTAAAAGCTCTGAAATTTTAAGAAAAAGCAATTGCTTATTTTTATTTATACGACTCATTGTTGAATCAGGATAAAAATTATTTCGTAAATTATTTCAGGACCATTTCATTCGGTATTATGTTTTATGCTTAAATTTTATATGAAGCAAATTTGGGTATGATCATTAAGAATAGCTTAAAAAATGTTAATTATCTACTGAAAGAAATTGCTTCATTTGTGAAAATTAATCTGCTTGAATGAGATGGATTGCATACCAGCAATTAAGACTTTTTCTAAAAATTTATTTGGTCAAACTGACTTCTCGTTTTTCACAATTGAAAACCTGAAACGGCAGTTCAACGTAGTAGAGATGCCAGTTTTCAAAAAACATCAATTCGTCGATAGATCGACTATTTATACATCGAGTGGAAAATTGTCGATGCATCTAAGTAAAACATCGATATTTTCGATATATCGATGATTTTCCTACTTTTCATTCTCGAAGTCATTGCGGAAAATGTTACCGCATTTCGCTCCGCCACAGGCTAGGAAGATTGAAGTCGATATTATTTTTTGCTTAAAAATTACTTGTTTTTCTTTTATTTCTTTAACCGAGCATATATGTATATCGTTCGGCAATCTTTAGAGTCTTCGACTTCATACCGGAAAAACGGATCGACGCGTCCATTAGCTGTCTGCGAAAGGAACGACACACACACTTCTAAAGGGGTGAATTGGAGCGTGTCTGTCTCTGAAATAGAGAACCAATTTGCGTCTCCACAAATGGGTCGAAGTTGGACGGGAGAGTTGAAGTACGTACTCCGTCCAGAATTTTCCGACGCACCAACGAATAACCAATTAAAGGGGTAGATCTCTACGTTATTGGCCAAGCGGCAATAAAGGAATGGGACTGCTTGGGGACTGCTAGACAGCTCACCCTCGATTGCCTCAGATTATGTGCTTCCAAATCCAGTGGATTGGCTACACATGATACCTTGGTTTCTCTGCGAACAGGGAGCGCTTGGAAATACCTGTGACAGCTTGTGAACTGCTTATGGATAGATGAGTGGGTAGTCAGCTCAGCGAACGCTGGACGAAAACTCCGACATGTAAAATTGCTACGACTGCTATCAGAAAAAAGACCTTTTTTTGGTTTTTGGATATTAGTCGGACCAAGAGTCGAGCCTGGGTCCTACCGGGTAGAAATTGTGATACTAGTCTCGATTGTATGTATGTAAGTAATTAAGTTAATTTTTCAGCATTTAAATTTATCTTATTTATATTAAAAATCAACAAAAATATTTAGATACATAGAAATTTGTATAAAATCAACTTTTGCGAACAGCTAAAAAAAACTATCTGTTGCATTTCAATTATTTTCCCACAACGTTTTCTCCCATTTTTCAGCACCATATTGCTTTTGAAGCCTCTAATCACGACCCACTTTATGCGTCTCCAATGGGCGATCCACGCGCACCACTCGTTCGGCCACATTCAGATAAGCCTCGTACTCAGCGACATCAGGAGTAGTGTCATAATGATAATGGCCACCCCAGTTAGACTTGGAGAATGAATGGAAATGTTGCAAACGTAAATCCAAATCCTAATAAAAATGTGGTCACAAAAAAATAAGTAATTAATCTCAAAGCAAAACTAACAGACATTTTTAGTCAACTCACATGTTCGTGTGTAATCAGTGTGCCCACAGCATTCAGTTGCGCTGGCATATCGTAGAACTTTAGCCATTCGTTCAGCTCATCCTCGGTTTGCAGTGGCGTCTTGCTAAAATCACGCATAACGTGCTGATGCGCCGCACCTTTTTTCAGCACAAAAATGCCACCCATGCCCACACACTGCTCCTTGTAGTGCGATTCCAAACCTTTACGTATGCATTCGACGAAGTTCAATTCGCCAATACGCTTGTTGCACTTAACCTTCACAACGGGTCCTGGCGCGCCGCGACTAATATATAAATTCAACAATAACGCACAACGCGGATCGGTGTCGGGTATGCGTTCTAGCACACATATCTCCTCCGCACCATGCACCTTGGCGGTGTAGCTGCCATTTTTCAAGTTACCATCCTCATCGATAGCCATATTGAAGATGCCTTCGCAATTGGAGTTGCGCAAGGGGAATGGGCCAGCACCGGCACCGATTGCCAAAATTTTACCAACACCCGGAAGCGCTTTCTGTACGATTTCCTTTACATTGTACACCTTGGAGCGTTGCACTAGGGGCAGCAAAAATGGTGGGCCGCCAATTTCGAGCAGCAAAGGTGAGCCGCCTAAACCTATGTAGGATGGTGAGGAAGGTTTTTGTAAGAGTAAGTTTTGGAAAAAAAGTATTTGGTATGGTAGATTATTTCAATGCTCACCTGAATCCACAAGACCATAAAAAGAATCCTTTAGGTCTGGACAGTCACCCACTTCAACGCTTACGTTTTCAAAATTTTTAGCCAAAGCACTTTGGATAACTGTAAAATATATATTTTTTTAGTGTTAAGTGGCTAAAATATGTTTATTCAGCCTAAAAGCCATTTAACAGCACTTTATAATATAAAATTATTAATGGACTATAAAACTGCATTCAAAACAAATAAGAAAGTCTAAGTTCGGGCGGAGCCGAACATTAAATACCCGGCGCAAGTATTAAATATATGTTTTTTCACCTTTCCGAAACCTTCCGCTAGATGGTAAGCCGGGGTGTATCAATTTTGAGTAAATTAGCGTCCTTCAATTTCGAAATATTGAAGTTTCAAGCATTTCTGAAATTTACCGTTATATGAGAAGCGGCCGTTATTTTAGTCCGATTTCAACAATTTCCAACGTTTTGCTTATATGTGGCAAGCACAATAACCACACCGAGTTTGGTAGAAATTGGTAGAACGGTTACCGATTTACATATATGTGATCATAAGTGGGCGGTGCCACGCCCATTTTCCAAAATTTTACCATAAACGTATTTCTTGGTAAAGAATTGTTGCAAGCATCAATTTTGAATAAATTAGCTTCAATATTTACTGATTTATCGAAGATTATGTATTTCTCTAAATTACCGTTATATGGGAGGTGGGCGTGGTTATTGAGCGACTTTAAAAATTTTCGGCCATTTGGTATGTTGTGCGAAGACCAACAACTGTGCCAAGTTTGGAAGAAATTGGTGCAGCGGTTACCAAGATATACACATGTAACCATAAGTGGGCGTGGCTACGCCCATTTTCCAAAAATTTATAATATTCTTATTTTTCGTCTAAAAATTATTGTAAATATCAATTTTGAGTGAATTATCTTCAGTAGTTACTAAAATATCGCAGTTTTCGTATTTCTGGAAATTACCGTTATATGGGAAGTGGGCGTGGTTATTGTCCGATTTCGCCCATTTTCAATACCAACCTACCTTGGATTAACAGAAACCTACATACCAAATTTCGTTGGGATATCTCAATTTTTGCTCGAGTTATCGTGTACACAGACAGACGGACAGACGGACGGACAGACAGACATGGCTTAATCGATTTCTTTTTTCATTCTGATCATTTATGTATACATTTGTCTATATCTATCTCGATTCGTTTTGGCTGTTACAAACAACCGTTATGTGAACAAAATTAATATACCCTTGTGCACAAGTGCGCTCGGGTATAAAAATCTTAAAAAAAAGTTGAAAATTTGCATTTAAAAGATTTCAACTAACACAATAAAATTCACTTCCGAGTGAATTTCAATTAAATTCGCTTGGAATTGAAATTGGCAGGGTTCAAATTCACCTGATTAATCACATTTACACCCTGTCCTCAAAACTCCAATTAATTTGGAAAACCCCACTACAAAAAGGAAATGCAAAAAGGAACGTTCGGAAATGCATCACAAAATTTTTTTTTTCGATGAGTGACGGAAAAAATTAATCAAAACTGAAAACACGATTCACCCTGTGGCGTACTATCTTATCATTTCTCATCTTCAATTAGCCAATGCACAAACCAAACTAGCAATTACCAAGCTGTCATTTCCTCCTCCAACTGGAATGCTTATTAGAAAGGTAAATACGATTACATTTTTTTTTGCACCTTGAATGTCACGGCAGAGAACTTAGATAGATAAGTTCTCTGGTCACGGCTAATGTCAAAAAACAAAAACACATACATCTTAACAACAAAAAAAAGAAAACAAGCAAAACACACTGGAGTGCCTTCATTTGCGTCCATCCTGGCCAACTACGATACTTACCTCCTTTCAATTCTTGCAATGGTGGCACATATAATGGCTTTTCCTCATAAAGCAACTCCTCGGTCGCAAGTGTAGCAGCCATAATAATAGTACTTATATTTATTTGACAAACTTAAGTATAGCAAGATTTACGAAGAACGTATCAACGACTTCCAGCAACGTATGGTGGCACAGTGAAATATCAAAAACGACTAACCATGAGTATGGAACTCGATTTGCTAGGAAGCCGCGGCGCAAGTCGAATTATGCGCACGTCGCGAGCATCAACAAGCTTTGAGCGTATTTGATTAGAATATAATTTGATAATTTACAGGGTGTGTGCATTGCATTTAGCGATAAGATAAACCGAACCTCTTAAACCACAATGTGACTTTAGCTCATCAAAATACACAAAAAATGGAACCTAGCAGGCGGTTATCGCCTGATAATGTCACCCCAATGCGTGTGCATAAATGTAGATATTGTTTTTGTTAGGTACTCGATTTCCAAAATGCCCCTAGTTTATCTCTGGTTAAATACGCGAAGCTGACAAGCTTCTGCACCACACGGCTGCCGATGGAAAGATACATATGTACGTGAATTACAAAATGTTGTGTACCTACATACATATGTACATATAATTCTTCAATTAAAAATTGTTCTACATACATACATATTTTGTTGTTATGTGCAGATGTGTGCCGTATGCTGACGCAAACCAAATACTTTAATTGCCTACTGATAACATTCATAGCTTTCTCGTTTTTGTGTCAGGCCGCATAACGAAAAACCATTACTCAATTTAACACCTCGCCTAGTGTTAGCGGTCAAATTGCATTGTTTACAAGCATAAATGTACAACTGATAAGCGATGACAAGTAAAATGATGAGAACAAATGCTACCTAAGAGCAAGCTACTCTATGGAAATTAACAAGCGGCACCACATATTGCGGTCAAAGCGAGAGGGAGAGAAGGAAGACAAAACCTAATGTTTAATAGTGTGTAAGATTGAGATTGCTACTCTGTGGTTTGGTGTAGAAAGAAGCTAAATAAAATACATCAAGCGAAATAGAAGTGTATGTAACCGAATATCCCAAATTTCTATATTTCAAGCACTGCCGCTTCAAAAACCTCCTCCACAATTGCTTGGAAAATTTGTATGCTATGGAAATAACCAAAAAAGAAACTTGTAGAATTTTATGCTAAAAGTTCATAAAATTAAGCAAAATGTAATAGCAAACTTACCTGGTGTTAAATTCCATGTAGTTATAAGTTATTGAAATGTTGCTGGAAGCTTTAAGCTGCTGCAATGCCCTTCATCCCAATTGCAGCGTTCCCACTAATGTGGGGTCTTCGCTACCGGCCTTATCAACGTTTCTTTAAGGCAAATAACTTTTATCTGTATTTCACTACATTTCTACGCTTTTTTGCAGCCACGTCAGCAATAGTTCTTACTGCTCCCTAAATTTGTGCACAAATATGGATCTTACGATGGTATCTTCAGTACATCCTCCACCAGCAGCCGGTTTGACGGAAGTCTTACAACAAAACTGCAGAACAAATACACTTGGATGCACGAATGCTATTTTTCTGCTTGCCCCGTGATTCAAACACTTTTATCTCACATTTTACCTAATGCATATTCAGAACACTATAAAAATTAAACCTTCACGGCTTTAACACATTTCACTAAACTAAACCGTTGTTTTGTATATCACCGTAAATTATCATAAATTTTTCATTTTTTAAAACCATTTTCTTCGGCTGTCATTGGCGCCAAAATATTATTTTTATGTCTAGCAATTCACGAACGGAACAGCACTGAACACACCCCAAAAAAATGTGACAGCTAGCAGTCGTAGCTTGATGTGCTAAAATAATTTGCATTGTTACAAATTTAGTATTTTATAGATTAGATTATATGGTAAATTTGTACTTTTCCAAATAACATATTCCTTTATTATGTATGTACTTATTTTAATTTCGAACACCCAAAAATATTTGCACACCCAAATGCATTGCTGTACTGTTTAAATGTTGTCAATATTAATTAATTTCCCCATTTACAATCATACACACGGTTGCCACTGTAGTACAATTGCGGGCATTTTTTCTCCGTTTGGGTCTTTGGGCCTTTTTTTTTGTTTGTTTTTGGGCCTTTTTGAAACAACGTTCCTTTGAATACGCAGCACTCACAGTTTCAAACTTTATACAAAATTTAGGAAAATTTTACAAATTTTCAGCAATGAAGTGGAAGTTTCAGGAATTCATGCTTGTATGGAAAAAAGTACAAAAATCCGTCACAAAAAAAAATCACCAAAGTCTACGCGATTTTTTAGGTGGTTGAAACTTGCACTTCATTAGACCAAAATTGTATGGGCTATAAAACTGCATACGCAAAATTGTTCTAAAGATTCAGATTACAAGTTTAAATTTTGATTAATATATATCGAACTCTTCTAAATTTTGTATAAAGCTTGAAACTCTTTATATGGTTTCGGTTAACGCATGGACGGTATTTGAATAGAAAAATAACACAGAAAAATATTTGTTCGAAAAACATTAAAAATATTAAAAAAAAATCAACACGTAGTCACTTGTTTGAGTCACTGTATACATATTTGTTGGACGGCTTAAAATGGTAAATTTTATATAATTTTGGGCCTCTTTACTTGTTTATTGTGGTTCACAAAATTTTGATGAAATGGCAACCGTGAACATACAGGATACAAATTTGCTCGGTGCACACGACGATTAATATTTTTCCCCTTACGTTTTTTTTATTATGCACTTCCGAACTTATTTTGCAAATCATCCTCGGGTAATGGGGAATAAAAGTAATAACGGTAAAAGTGCACTTTAGCGAAGGTACTTTACTGAAGACTACTTCTGAAAAGCCATCACATCAGATATAAAATAAGTGCCACAAAACTCTACAACTCTACTTAATGTATGGCATCACTTTAACGCTGACGTCTGACTTTTGCTCCAAAACATCACCCGAGGGGGTCCGGAACGCCAACAGCCCATTGGAATTTTTGCTTTCACATTTTGGACTTCATCACTGTTGTTGCTTTTATTTTTCTGCTGTTGTGTTGCTGTATATGGATTGGATTTTTCCCAGAAGCCGAAAATCGTAATCTCGATCAGAAACTAAGGAAGAAGTCGTATACGCCACCACGACGTCATCTTCAATAGCTGAGCATCAACAATTAAAACAAACGGAGCGATTCAACACAGCTTAACAAGATGGGCGCTATATTAGCCAAGTTCAGGGTAAGGTGCCATATTTGTATGCAGGCGACCTTCGTTGGCCCCGCAATTGAAAAACAAATTTATACGTACATATACAAAATAAAAATCTTGTATATTTGTATGTATATATGCGTTATTCAATCGGACTTTTTGTGTCT